TAAATGCTAAGCCATTTCTTTATATGATATATAAAAAGATCACTACTGATCTCAAAAAGAGTCTTTAAGTATTGGGAAACTGTCAGTGTCACAGTGGAAAATACATGATTTTCAAAATTCTAATCTCCACTTGAAAGCTCAAATTTTATGACTCGCCATACATACTGCCAGCTGTTTTCCTCAAGGTGACAAGTGAACTTTATTCATTTTCAGGAAAATATATGTCAAATATCCAAGACTAAATAGCCATAGTTTTGCTGTTAATCTCTCAGATGAAAACGGTATTTCACGAAAGAAGCTGCTGGTTCAGCTCAAACAAACCACATAAGTACTTTTCCTCAATTCAATCACTTCAGTATGCAGTAAGAATACTCGCAGCTTCCATCCCACAGAATATTAACAAATGTACACACTCAAAGGAATAAGGTTCAATAAGATTAGTTTTACTGCTTCTCCAAAGACGTTCCTAAATAGAGATGGAATACTCTTTACCGAGATTGCCCAGTGGTGCAGGACAAGGCGGTTTGCCCTCTGGAGCTACTGCCCTGATTAATGCTGCGGTGCCAGAAGTTTCACCCAGCACTGCGCTCACATTATCGAGGCAAATGACATCTTAGTATTGTTATGATATTGGTTTTGACCTCATGGGCACCTAAAATGGTCTCGAGGACCCCCAAGGGTCCACGCTGAGAAAACGACTGTTCTATACGAATCCACTAAAATAAATCAAATCAAATCAAATCACAAGCAGCAGGAAATCATCCCCTTTAAGAGTAGTTACTGGTAAGAATTTTAAAAATCGAGGGAGCCCAAGGACTATGGTCTAATCACCCCATTTTTCAGAGGAAGAAACAGATCCACGGGGCGGGCAGGGGGAGAGAAAGCAGATTGCCCAGGTTTAGCAGGCAAGCCAGACGCTGGGTGGAGGTGCTCTCTCCTCCACCAGACTTGGGTGGTTTAACAGCACCTCCAACACAGGCAGAGATCTTCGGGATGATATCCGGGAGCCCCATTACGGAGCTAAGAGGATCATGGCATGTGGGACTGGGTGCACACTGTTGGGCCAAGAATACAGCAGACGATTGTAGGAATGTTTGCCCAATTCAAAAGAGGAAGCTACCATTTATGCACAAGAAAAGGGCACACACAGAAAAACACTGTTGAGAGTGCCTGGAAGACTATTTCATGAGTAAAGATGCCTTGAGGATGTGGTTAAATAGTAACAGAACTCATCATTAAAGCTCCCATTGTAATTTAGGGCTTTCCCCCTCATCTCCCTGCTCCACAGTGTAAACTCTCCTGGTCAACTGTGGATGGAGTTATTCGGAATTTAAAATCTTTTCAGAAAGAAAGAAATTCCAGAGAAAGCTGAACCTCAGGCAAGAACTCTTATGGGGGGTGGGGGAAGGGGGGGCTTTTTTAATCCCTTGCACGTCTGGAATTTTGTTCAAAACATAGTGAAGAACTTAACAGTTTGGGAAGGAGCCCACTGTGGAACGCTCACACACCAAGTATGGGCACAGCAGGTAAGGGCCGCCACAGGGGAAGGGGAGAGGCGGAGGGGGCGGGTACCCACAGGTCCTGTGCAAATGCTTTGGGAGCTGGAGGATGGGTTTCAAGCACAGAGTCAGGTCGGAGTGGAGGTGGCAGTAACTGACGGCTCCCACTGGGAGTGCTGCTTGGAAAGGGGGCAGCATCCACACTCGATTAACCAATCACGTTATTTGCAGAAAAGGTGCCATGTTGCGCCGCCTGCCCTGGAATCCTTTCATTGTAAGGCTTTACCTTCATGTAGGAGGGGAAATGTTCAAAGGGCAAAGTGGACTCAAAGGCTTGTACGAACAGCAAGGGCTGCTGGAGGGGGCAGCTTGTCACCATGCCTCCCTTTGCCAGGGTGTGGAAACTGCCTCTGTGGGAAGCTGCTATTTTATTAGCGCATCAGGTAGGCAAGGTATTGCTCTTCCCATCTACTCTTTTCCTTAGTTTTAAACATAGTGATTATCGTTATTTGTACATTTGCTGTCTGATAATTCCAACATCTTGCTGCTGTCACAAGGTTCATCTATCTGCCTGGTGTTGGCAAGGCCTGGAGCTCTGTGCTGTCACAGGCTCGAGGAGCTCATGGATTTGACTTAATGCTCCCCGATGACCCAATCTTTTCCCACTCCGGCTTTCAGTAGAGCTCTCCAAAGAGAGCCAGCTACAGTTGGTTCTTCTAGTACATAATTATTCACAAGGAAAAGAAAATCTTAGTAAATACTGCACGGGTGAAGCAGAGAGACTTAACTGGCTTTTGGCAGGAGACACCCCTAGAGAGTCAAGAAGTAACGAGTTATGTTGAGGCACCTTCAAAAGGCAGACGGTCCCTACTTCTGCAAAGCAGACCATCCTTTACAGACCCAGTCAATCAGCCAACCCCCACTTTCTGAGGACCTACTAGGTGCACGCTCTGCTCTCGTGCAGTGGAGAACTGAAACACAAAGAGACAGTCCCTGGTGATTTTTTCTATCTGCCCTTAATGTTAAAGGTACATGGGACTCTTTTTTTAACTCTGCGTTTTTGCTCTCCAGCAGCACTCTGAGGGCTGGGAATAAAGGGGCCGCTCCTAGCACCCTGCTAGCTGGGTCTCCATGTGCAGACCACACAACAGTCTACATAGCTGAAAATTGGATGCCTGGGTATAGAATAAGGCTCTAAAGCAGCGGTTCTCAACCTGTGGGCCGCAACCCCTTTGGGGGTCGAACGACCCTTTCACAGGGGTCACTGGGTACTCGTATGTGGGCATATCTGCATGTGGGCCTGGAGACGGATAGAGGAGCGGTGTCTCGGTTCCTAAGACCATCGAAAATATGTGTTTTCCGATGGTCTTAGGCGACCCCTGTGAAAGGTTGAGAACCGCTGATCTAAAGGATTCACTCTGATGGTAGCAAGTCAGCTCTTTCTGTCCATCCACCCTGATTTAATTAAATATTTTACTTTAAAAAATGCTTATTGCACTTCAAATGTACCAGGCACTGTTTTAAGTGCATTATAAATATTAAGCCACTTCATCCTCACAACAAGCCTATATGATAGATGTAATTATCCTAATTTTAAGATGAGGAACTGAGGCACAAGCTGTTAGGTAACCTGCCCAAGGTCACAGCTAATCTGTGGTCACGTTAGGGCTTGAACTCGGGTGGTCCAGCTCGTCTATGCTGTTAATTATGGAGCAAAATATTTAACAAACGGGGCCGAGGCATTTATGCATGTAGCATGCCTTCCCGAAGGCAAGCCACAGTAATTTAACCAACAGTGTCGAGTGTCGAAGTTAAAACAACAACGAAAAGATATCCAGAACTTATAATGAAAAAGATAGACTTTGTAGGTTGTATTCCATGACAGAATCCTAACCTCAAGATCAAGAGTAACCTTATCTTGCACAACACCAACACCCCTACCAGGCTATAACTGACGGCTGCTAGAAAATATACCGAATCAGCATTTGAAATGTTACTGTCATCTTTTCCTAAAATGCAGCCTGGAAATGAAAACTCAGGGTAAGCTGGTGAGCAACTAGCACACACACAGCATCCCCCATCTTTGGGTCCCTCTGTGTGCTTCAAAAGCTTTCTGCAAGGGACCACCTACCAGACAGCCCAAAATACCTCTCCCAAGGCAGGAAGTTCTGTGCTGTCCAACACGGGAGCTGGTAGGCACTTGGGGCTATTTAAATTTAAATTAATACAACGAAATAAAGTTAAAAATTCAGTCCCCAATGGCATTAGCCACGTAACAAGTGCTCAACAGCCACGTGGGGCTAGTGGCTACCATGCTGGATGGTCCCGAGAAGAACCATTTCCATCACCCCAGAAAATTCTATCGGCCAGCGCGAGTTAGGTCTTGAGTGTGATTTCTTTTTAGGCTTTAGTCTGAATACACCTAGCAGTAATAATTTCATCTTTTCTTCCTTATGAACACACAAAATCCAAATTACATTTCATTTCTTCATAAAATGTTGGCTCCCAAGTTTAGTTCCAAGGGGGAAAGTAGATGATTCATAAGCAATTCAAATCAACTCCTAACCCCACCCACAGCATGTGGTATCCAGAATGCATTTCTTCTTCCTTAATGTTAAAAATCAGGTGAGGAAAAGCGAATTCATTCAGAAGTGCAGCAGACAACAAAATCAAACATTCTGTTCACAGGCTTTTCACTTTATGTTGGACGTACGTTTTGACACATGCATTCCACTGGTAGGGTGGCTATGTCCACACAAACTAACAATCCTATCAGAAACACAATGAAAACACATGCGCCGCTCTCAAGGTGGGTCAGATACTTCCAGGTTTAAAAAAAGAAAAAAAAAAAGGCACCTACACAAAAACTGGTCAGGTACAAATGGAACCCATAGGACTGGGACAGTGGCACCAAATTTTCCACTGACAGCAAATCTCTTCTTACAACAATTTCTCGCATCCTTACCCCACTTTACTAGGATACCTAAATAAGTGACACTGTTTTCGGCTGTCACGTGGGCTCACGTCGGAATGGTGCAGAATAACCACAATCAAATGTGAACGAAAGCTTCGCAATAAAGCACTATGCACACTAGGACGCTCCCACAGATGGAATTCTATGGAATCTAAAACCCAAACTTCTGATTCCTCAATCTGAAGCCAGGAAAACTATGTTTACAACCAGTAGGAACCACCTTGTTCTAACACAGATCTCTTTGTTCATTTAAAACACTCTCCTCTCTCTGCCCTGTTCTCCAGGTCTTCTCCCTTCCTGACTGTCAACCCCTATTATTAATACTTTTAGTAACGCAACTGAATTTTTATGAAATCTTGTGAGACACAGCTTTCTTTTTTATTTCGGATGAAACGGGTATTACTTACCAAGCAGGACTAATAGGAATCAATGTTTGGTCATTTTTTAGCTGTAAACACACCTTAACCTCCTCAGAAGATGCAAATTAAAAAAGCAATGCAATCATAGTAATAACTGTTATTACATACTTGTGACTTCTTGTAAGAAATCCAAACACGGTCGACTACTTCCGGAAATACTTAGTGAAACAGCCAATGGGGTCTGTCCCTCATAGTTCCGTGTGTTCGTGTCTGCTCCGTAATTATATAACATCCGTGCACACAGCACATCATCCCTAAGGGCAGACAAATGTAAGGGAGTCTGTCCGTCTTCTAGGCGCCCCAAGTTTGTGTCTGCTCCCCTCTGAAGGAACATGCGGCAGTAAGAGTGATTGCTTTTGATCACGGCGTATCGTAACAGGAAGCCGTTCTGGATGTCGATGTTGGCATTATGATCCAGGAGGATTTTCACGCAACTTGACCTCTCCCGGATGATGGCGAGCTGAAGCGGCGTGGTACCTTTGTCGCTGAGCGGGTCGACCTCGGCCTTGAACTCCAGGAGGAGTCGGACAAACGAGTCCCTCCCGTAGTGAGCAGCCACATGGAGGGGTGTCCAGCCGTCGTTGCTTTTTGCATTAATGATGTCGCTCCTGTATTCAGACTCTAACATCAAGCGTGCAATCCGGGCTCGGCCGTGCATGGCTGCATAGTGAAGGGCAGTGAAGCCTCCGATTAAGTCCTTCACCGTGGGATCCGCTAGAGTGAAAACCCAAAATGAAAACGTTTAGCAGCAGACACCAGGACACAACAACCGACTCTTACCAGGGCGAGCACCGGCCAGCCAACTCTCAAACAAAGTGAGACGTTTCAACGTTACAATGAACACCAAGTGCTTCTTTCCTCAGTTTAATTGAAGTTAAATTTTAATGGCAAATAAAAGTGTGGTGGAAAGCTATCAAACCTGGTTAACAGAAGGAGGTTGACTTACGTGTTTAAAAGATATATTTAAAAAATCACTGAGTTCACACCCCCCACATCCCATCTTTGCTAATCTAAAGAAATCCCCCCAGCTCTGTATTGTTTCATGTTTCTCTTCTGTTCTAACATTTTATTTTATTTTGTGCTTCTCCTTGGTCTTAAAGAGAAGCATGTGTAGCAACCTTTGCTGCCCTAAATTACGGATGTACTGTGGTCTGGCAGACTATGTTGTTTTAGGGTGTACTAGGTAAAAAATAAAAACGTTCTTCTGTGGTCTGTAAACCTTCCAAGGCATATAAGATATATGTTAAGTATCTGGATAAATCATGTTTTCATAAGATAAAAGTCTATTCCGAATGCTTAGTTTTGAGAAGCACTTTGGAGTCTGTAAGAATTAAACAGTGCATTGTGTGAAGAGCTAGAAGAAACATCACTGGACAAATATTTTATAAAACAGTTTCAAAATCCTCTCCTAAAATGATTTCAAGGAGGAGAGAGAGGGAGGGAGGCAGGGAGACAGAGAGAGAGAGAGAGAGAAAGGAAGGAAGGGAGAAAAAGAAGCTACAGCGATTTATCTTCTATGTGACTCCTCAAGTAGAAACTTTTGTCACCTGTCCGAGCTATTTCCTGAAGCCTAGGGTCAGTTCTGTGTAGCTCTCATCCCACTGGCCTTCTGGGGAGTTACAGGATGGAGCAATAATAGCCCCCATGATGTAAGTCACTTCCTGGAGACCAGGAATTCCATGTGGGTCAGACCTAACTACCTAGGATTAAAATGCGTTCTTCTTATAAAAGTCATCCTTAATTTCTGGTTTGTTCACGAAAGAGAAAAATTCACAAGTGTTTTTCAAACAGCCTCCAAAGTTGGGTGATTAAACATTTGTATATTGCTTAGTAAAATATTATTTAGTGCTAAAACGTATCGCCGCTGGGTCTCTTAGAAAAATCTATGAGACAGAAAACTATAGGTAAAATAATAACATTTTGGAGAATACAAATTTCAGTGAAGTAGTTGCTAACAAAATCTGTAAAATGTGAACATTTTTTTAGATAAGCTGTATTTCTACAGTTGAATTTCTACAATCATTAAATATAAACTAACAGTACACCACAGTAATATTACTTTTATCCAATGAAAGAAAATAAAGGTATCATGTCTGTCTTGGTCTTCACTACAAGAAAAATATGCAGTACCTTTTTACGATGTGACTTAAAACAATGAAGGAAGACTATTTTAACACAGCACTTTGCTGCCATCTACTGGTAAGGCATGAACATGCGCTCCTAATGTTTCCATTTTGACAGATGACAACCTTCAATCCTGTTTCTGACACCTCACTTACCTAGAAGACTAAGTGAAGGCAGGCATGAAATTAAAAACAAAAAGAAAAAAAGAAAAAAAAAACAAAAAACACAAAACCCTGTATTTAAATGAAACGTCTTGCCAAGACATCTGTTTCTAATCTATACCTGACTAATCAACTCCTTTCAGACATTCTCTCTTCATCTGTTGGTGAAATGTAATACCTTCTTTCACTTCTCCCACCTTTTGTCCATCTGGGGTGCCTTTACATGTGCCAGCCAACACTCTTACGTGCATCCTATACTCGCTTTATTTGACAGCAAAATTAAAATCGTGTTACATTCAATTGTACTTGCATTTTTGATTTTCTACGTTAGGTCTTTTTAGGTTTTACTTACATTTTGGTGCCATATTGAGCTAGGAAAAACGATGATTAACACAATAGTAATGGTTTGCTTAGTCTCAGTAAGAACCATTCAAATGCATTAGCTGAGCACACGCTGGAAACCCGGCATAGAATACAGAACTTTAGGTAACAATGCATAATAAAATCTGTACAGTGACTGTCTTGAGGAATTAACAAATGGGAGAGCTAAGACAAATGAAGATGCAAACAAAAATTAATTGAAGGGTTATTATTAGCCAGTGCAGAAAGATAAGAAAAGGATCTCATTTGTAATAGCAAAAGAAACCACAAAACACGTAGATTCATCACAGATATGAATTCAGTAAGAAATGTGCAAGGCACATACGAAGGAAACTTTGACCTGAATTGTCTTCATCAGCAAGTGTCTGCTCAAATGTCCCTGCATCACAAAAGCTTTCCCTGAACACTAAGATGGCAGTCGCATCAACCTTATCACTTTGTCCCCTTGGCAATATTTTTTTTCCAGGTGCAAACTATTTTAAACAAGATGTAGCAAAGTCTCACGAAACCCATTTACATCTGCTGAAAACTTTAAAGTATATATTAAATAAAGCAAATAAATACTCCCTATCAATATGGTTTCTATAATATTTCCTCCAACACTTTAAGTGTGCAGGTTGATGAACTTTGATAAACTGTATACAGTCACGTAACCACCACCACAATCAAAATATTTCCATCATCTCGAAAAGTTCTTTCCTGCCTCTTCACGGTCAGTTCCCTGCACAGACTCTGGGAACCAGATAACCACTGAAATTCTGCCTTTCTAGAATTTCATATAAGCAGAATCATATAGTATGTAGACTTCTGTGTTTGACTTATTTCATTTGGCATGATGTTATGAATTTCATTGCTGTTGCTATCAAAAGTTCATTCCTCTGTATTTGCTGAATAGTATTCCATAATAGGGATATAAAATTATTTGTCTGTTCACCAGCAGACATACAATGGGTAATTTCCGGCTTAAGGTTATTATGAAAAAGGCTACTGTGAACATTCCTATACAAGTCTGTATGTAGTTATATGTTTCCACCTCACTTGGTTAGATACCTAGGAAAGAACTGCTCAGTCCCATGTTAAATGAGCATTTAACTTAAGAAATTGCCACACTGTTTATCTAGTGGCGATACAATACTGCATTTCCAGCAGCAACATATGAGTTTCAGTTGTTATATATCTTCACTAATACTTGGCATCATTAATTTTAATTTTATCCATTCTAGAGAATATAAAGTAGCAACTTAGTGGGATTTTAATGTACATTTCCTTGATGATTAGTAACACTGAGCTAATTTGTGTACTTTCTTTCGTGAAGTGTCTGTTGAGAGCATTTACCCATTACCCATTGGTTGTTTTTCTCATTATTGAGTTAATAACTGTTGTGTATACATTCTGGACACAAGTCCTTTGTCGCATGTCTTGTAAATATTTTCTCCTAGTCTGTCGTGCCTTTTTCATTTCCTATTCTGCGTCTTTTAAAGAACCAAAGTTTTTAATTTTGATGAAGTCAACTGTCATCTTTTCTATTATGGTTTGTGCTTTTTGTGTCCTGTTTAAGAACTCTGCCCAACACATTATCATATAGGATTTCTATGTTTTCTTCTAGAAGTTTTATACTTTTAAGTCTTATGTTTAGGGCAATGATTCATTGTTAGTTGATTTTTTTGTGTACAGTGTGAGATCAGGTCAAGGTTTATTATTTCCCATATATCTAGTTGTTCCAGCACAATTTATTGAAGACTAGCTTTTCCCCAATGATTGATCTTGGTGTCTTTGTCAAAAACCAATTTATCAGAAAAGTGTGGGTCTGTTTCTAATCTCTATTCTGTTCCACTGATCTAAAAGTCTATCCATATGCCAAGAGCAGACTATCATGATTACTGTAGCTTTATAGTAAGTTTTGATGGCAGGTAGAATATATGTCCTCAAAAACAGTTCTTTAAAACTGTTTTGGGGGCTGGCTGAGTGGCTCAGTTGGTTAAGAGCTTGCTCAAGAGTGCGATCTCTGAGCAACAGGGTTGCTGGTTCGATTCCCTGCCCAAGCTGAGCTGCCGCTGAGCTAAAAAATAACTGTTTTGGCCAACACGTTTTAGACTCAACCTGTCAATTTCTTCAAACAAGCCTGTTTGAATTCTGCCTGTAACGCCACTGTCTCTAAAACTGGAAAGCTCCCCAAAATTATCTAAATAATACTGATTCTTCCAAACCATGAACATGAGATTGTTTATTTAGGTCTTCTTTAATTTTCCTCAGAAACATTTTATAGTTTTCAATATACAGGTCTTAGACATCTTTCATTAAATTGATTACTAAATATTTTGTGTTGCTATCATAATGAATTGTTTTTACATTTCCCTTTCCCAATGTTAACTGTTGGCATAGAGCAATAAAATTGATTTTTGTATATTGATCGGTGTAACTCTGTAATCTAGCTAAATTCATTTTAGTTCTAATATGTTTGTAGATTTCTTACAGTTTTCTATGTGCACAATTATGTTCTTTGCAAAGAAAGTTTTACTCCTTCCCTTCCAATCCATCAGACTCTTGTTATTCTTCCCTTATTCCAAAAGCTACAACCTACAACAGAATGTTGACTAAAAGTAGTAAAAGTATATACTCTTGCCTTGTTCCTGATCTTAGAGGGAAGGCTCTCGGGACTTCACCACTTACTGTGATGTATAATAAGCTGTAGTTTTTCACAGGTAACATTCCTTAGGTTTTGGAAGTTATCTTCTACTCTGGTTTGTTGAGAGTCTTTATTACGAATGGGTATTTTGTAACATGCGTTTTCTGCATCTACTGAAATGATCATTTGATGTTTACCTTTGTTCTAGTAAAACGGAAAATTACTCACCATATGGGTTTTCAGATGTTACACAAGCCTTGCATTGCTGGGATAAATACTACTTGGTTGTGATATACTATTCTTTTTTTTATATACTAATGGATTAGATTTGCTAGATTTTCATTAAGGAATTTTGTATCTATTATGAAGGATCCTGATCTCTAGTTTTCATTTGTGGCAATGTCTTTATTTGATTTTGTATC